ACTTTAAAATGTTAAACATTTTAGGAAATATGCAAAAAGTGATAATTTATCGAAAATAGTGGACTCGAGTGTTACGGAAATGATTGCACTTATGATCAGTAGAGAGGGTTTCGATAAACCGTTTAATACTCATCACTATATTTATAACATGTTTGCAAATATATTGGGTTCGACTGTATTTAGTGTTAAGTATGTATATCTATCATATTAACAAAGTATGAGAGGATTTACTTTAATGTCATGATTTTTATTTTTTATGAATCGTACAATTATTTCATTGTTTAAGATTAAAATATAGAAAGTCTATATTATAGGTTTATAAGGATCATGTATATCAAAAATCCTTAGATTGAAATAAGTCCTCTCATACGAGCACATATTTTATAAATAAGTAAAATATAGTTTAATTTCTTTGTACCAGTTGAAATACATTTAATATACAAACTTGCACATGAATACTAGTAATTTACATAAAACACATCTTTTACAATAGAAACCATGTTTATTACTACATGAATTATAACACAAAGTTAAGTGTTAAGTGAAAATATGCAAGCTTTCAATTTTTTAGGCGGCTTGACTAATTTAAATAAAATACCCTGTATTTAAAATTTTTATAAATAATTTATTAATTAGATTTGACATTGAACAAAAGGAATTACACGCGTTTAAATACTGTTCAACTGATTTTTTGAAGGACCTGGGGAACCGATTATATTTATATGAATTCGTACCCGTTTTGCGGTTATTTATGAAAAATCCATTCAAACTATACGAACGATATTTTAGTGAAATCAGAGACTATACGATCAATATATACAAATCACATGAGAAAACATACGATAAGATCACGAGTCGAGACTTTTGTGATGTACTCATTGGCACTAAACGGGAGGCCATTATTGAGGACAGGGAGTCGGCACAGTATTATACGGATGAAAATCTGACCAGCGTAATGTTAGATTTGTTTTTAGGTATTTTAAAAAAATTTTTTGCGTTAACCACTCAACAGATTTTCTATACATAGCTGGAACTGAAACATCAGAGTCAACATTTCTATGGATGATTTTATTAATGACATATTACCCGGATATACAGCAAAAGTTGCGTGATGAGATAACTGAGAAACTTAATGATCGTGTCGCGAGAATAAGTGACAAAGCTCATTTAGATAATGTGATGGCGTTTATATACGAGACATTACGGTATAGAAATGCGGGGCCTATGGGTGTATTTCATAGGGCTATTACATCGACCACTATTGGTATTAAACATTTATAATTGAGCAATATAGCATACTGTTATATTATTTTAATTATTGCGATATTCAACATTAGGTGACAAATATCCTATTCCGGTGGACACGTATGTTATTGTCCATCAATCATGTATTTTAATGGATGAGAAAAACTGGACAAATGCTGAAACATTTAACCCTGATCGATTTCTAGATAAACATGGAAAATGCAATATTGTTAAACCACAAGCATTTATACCATTTAGTACTGGACGTCGCATTTGCCCTGGTGAACAACTAGCAATAAATAACCTGTTTTTAATCCTGGTCAGATTTATTCAACTGACCCGTGATTATGAAATTTTATTGCATAATAAAAATACCACTTCATTAGATGCTGATCCAGCTATATTACCATTACAAACCCCGATCAGTTTTAATATAAAATTATTATTAAAATAATAATAGTGAACAATGTTTTTTTAAAACCTATTAAATGCAGAATGTCTGATTTATTAAAATAAATATAATAAACTAAGGAATTAAAATTAAGTAATATATTAATTATTGTAAATTCTTAGTTTACAAACCTTTTTGTTAGTTACACTCTGTTTTAATGTTATAAAATATATACAATAGTTACTCTCAAAGTTATTGACACTATTTAATTTTAATATTTTACGTAGCACGACATTAAATGACATTTATAATCATAGGCATAGTGTTTCTGTTTTAATAATAAATATTTTATAAAGTTATATTAAAAATACTTTGATTAAAATGTTTAATAATTGGTGTAAAACAAAAAATAATGTTTCCAAACAAATTGTTTAATTTTTAATATAAAATATATTAATTGAATTGAATTTATTAATATTTAAATACCCTGTTCACTCAACAGCAGCTGATTTTCAGTGAAGGGGTCTAATAATTATATAAATAATAATTATATGCTGACATAAATTAAAATAAATTTCATTATATCTAGCTAAATTTATTTCTGTCTTTTAAAAATTTGATTTAACAAATTGTAGAATATCTTGGAACTAATTTCATGTCTAAATTCGGTATTATCAATGAGCATGCAAATTTCATTAAAAAATAAATTTTCATCTAATTTATAAATATCTCTTAAATTCAAGTAATTATAAATCTCTTTAACAATTGCAACACATTTCTCATCATTTATGCCATAATTAGTGTCAAGTGTTTGCCTCTGATTCTGATCACACATTTCCAATGCCTTAACTATAGGCCAACAACACTTGCCCTCCTGTATGTCTGTCCCAATTTTGCCAATTGTATCAGGGTCTCCAAAACAATCCAGGTAGTCATCTTGCATTTGAAATAAATATCCAATTTTTAGTAATATGGTCTCGGCACTTTTGTGGTCATCCAGTGAGTCACACGATGTCATATACATAGCTATAATAATAAACAATTTAAAATACCATTTATTTAATTCATTTTTGTGTGAATTTAATACCCAGTCTAACAGGTAATACAAATGAATAGAAAGCGGTTTTGTGTTTAACAATAGTGGCATATCTGTTGCTGGTAAATTGGATTAAATCTGGTTGCTCATTTATTGGGTTTGATAACATGTCCATACACTGTCCATAGGTTGCCATCCGGGAGGCCTTAATTATTAGTAAAACGGTTTAAAAAAGAGAAATAAAAGTTGTACAAAAATGATTTATATACTACCTTGTGCATAAGATCAACCAATTTTTGATAATAATGCTTATCATGGAAATATATCTTTAGAATATTATACATTTCCTGTTCCAATAAATTACTATCATTGCATGATATTAAACCAACATGGTCCTTAGTTTATAAAATAAACAATACAATAAAATATATCAAATAAAATAAAAGTGTTGGATATAAATAATTAATGCTACATACTAATTTGTACCAGCATGGTTTACCACGGCGCGTAATAGACTGGTCCATAATATCATCTATTACGATAAATGCTGCTTGTAGAAACTCAATTGTCCAACCTAGCACCCTGGCCAGTTCCATGTCCTCATCAGTATAGTTTTTACATTTTTTGTCCAAAATCATCTTGACAGTTTGTGGGACTGCCAAACCACGTGTACGCTTGCCATGCGGTACGTTATATAATATACAATCATTCAACCAGATACTAATTTCAGATAATTCTGTAGATTTGTCAACCGGTAAAATTGTAGACAATATATTGGAAAGGGTATCATTAAACTTATTTTCATTATTTTTTAAATCCATTTTGTGAATAAATCTAGAAATTTCACTTTTATTTATATAGCAATCATTTAGTAAAATAAAGAATTTTAATTAATATAATCTAACACATGCACTATATTATAACAGTTGCAATTAAAATCATGAGTTAAAAAGAATTTTTATAATATGGTATATTCCAAAGTATAGCCAAGTCTACTACATGCACTAAAATTCATATGGCACGTTTAATTAATCTAGTATACTTTAGGCTTTAGGTTCACTGTAATAAACCAATGCTATTAACCTTTGTAAATGGTATGACTTTAAAATAAAAATTTGAAAAAGTTAAATATTATTTAACACAAAGATTATAATTATTTTATTTTATATTAATTAAATCTCATTATATAATATAATTTTATAGATTTTTATGAAAGGTGTTTAATAAATTAAAATAGATTGTTAATTTACTTGTTAGCTTATAGCTTTGAATTTTAAAATATAGGCTTGTTTTGCTTTGTAATGTTGTTTAAGATTTACATTAAAAATTTTAAATATAATTGTAGTGATAATAATAACATTATTATATTATCATATACAGTACTATACCATGAAAGTGAAAGAAAATATTCAAATAACAATTCAAACATTATTTAATTGATTTAGATTAATATTTATATTATTAAGATCTGATTTATTTGATTTAGTTATATTTTTAAGTTGAATGACCGGGAGGTTATGCAAACGGCCTAGAGCATGTGCCAGTAGATATCACTTGATATAATTAACCTATGCTTTTAAAGTTTTCTAAATTCAGTGTTAATTATTATTACAGATTTTATGAACATGTGCTAGTGATACGAATCAATCAGTAACATACATTGAAAGTATTATAATATCTTAAACAAAAAATGCAATGAAGGTGGCATTTAAACACTATGTCGGAAGATGACCGACTATGGCCAGAATTTATTGAAATTTTAAACTTTAACTAACCTTTCAATATAATATTGAAATATCTAAAAATTATTTTTCTAACTTTA